AGACCTTCGGATGAAGATGGAATTTCAGATGAGGATGGAACTTCAGCAGATGATGGAATCTCAGCAGATGATGGAATCTCAGAAGAGGATGCAACTTCAGAAGAAGACAAACCCTCAGAAGGAGATGGAATCTCAGACGAAGATACAACTTCAGCAGATGATGGAATCTCAGAAGAAGATGCAACTTCGGAGGAAGATGGAATCTCAGAAGAAGACAGACCCTCAGAAGAGTATGGAATATCAGAAGAAGATGCAACTTCAGATGAGGATTGAATCTCAGAAGAGAACGGAACTTCAGAAGAGTATGGAATCTCAGAAGAAGATGGACCTTCAGAAGAAGATGGAACTTCAGCAGATGATGGACCTTCAGCAGATGATGGAATCTCAGAAGAAGATGGAATCTCAGAGGAAGATACAACTTCAGAAGAAGATGGACCTTCAGCAGATGATGGAATCTCAGCAGATGATGGAATCTCAGAAGAGGATGGAATCTCAGAAGAGGATGGAATCTCAGACGAAGATGGTCCTTCAGCAGAGGATGGACCTTCAGCAGAGGATGGAACCGATGAAATGGTGGAGGCCGGTGCTAAAGTAGTCGTTGATACAAATGGTGAAGAGGACACAACTTCAGAAGACAGACCTTTGGATGAAGATGGAACTTCAGATGGGGATGGAATCTCAGAAGAAGATGCAACTTCAGCGGATGATGGAATCTCAGAAGAAGACAGACCCTCAGAAGAGTATGGAATCTCAGAAGAAGATGGACCTTCAGGGGATGATGGAATCTCAGCAGATGATGGAATCTCAGACGATGATGGACCTTCAGCAGATGATGGAATCTCAGAAGAAGATGGAATCTCAGAAGAAGATGCAACTTCAGAAGAAGATGGAGTCTCAGACGAAGATGGAATCTCAGAGGAGGATGGAATCTCAGAGGAGGCTGGAATCTCAGAGGAGGCTGGAATCTCAGAGAATGAACCTTCAGAAGAAGATGAAGCCTCAGAAGAAGATGAAACGGATGAAACAGTAGAGTCCGGCGCTAAAGCAGTTGTTGATTCAAATACTGAAGAGGATGAAACATCAGAGGAACTTGGGACAGTACTAGTTGATGGAATGACACTGGTAGAAGGAACAGCGCTGGAAGATGGAATAGCAGTGGTCGATGGAGTGGCACTAGTTGATGGACAAACAGTCGTTGGTAGGACAACGATTTGGGTAACCGTGGAACTAGTACCTGTAACAAATCTTGTTGCTGTACTACATTCAGTCCATGTGCTAGTTGTGGTGATTGTAACAGGCTTTTGAACACCATCACCATCACCTCCAGCACAACCCCTCACTGGAGTCAACCTTGTAATTTCACGTGCACCATCTATGCCTCTACCTTGACAGACAACTTTTATGTCGTCAACAACAGTGTAAAATTTGTAGCTTTGATCAAGCTTATTGCTGTAATCCGAGAACCAAAAACGCGAGCCTGCTGGAATAGCGCCGAATTGGACAGTGACTCTTCTCTTGTTTCCGCTCAATGTTTTCGAAGTAATGGCCAAGTTGTTGTATGAAGTTGGGAAACCAAAAGAGTTGAATTGGTTAGTGTAGTGAGCCTCAACATCTTCAAGCTTGAGTTCATAACCGAAGTCTTCAATCTCAAAGGTGAAAGTACCACTGGAGATGGCACCACCTCTACACAACTGTGCTGGAGCAGCGTAGTAATAGAAGGTGTCACCTCTCATGGTAATTCTGGAAATGAATTGACGTCCACTGGTGTTGATACCTGAAAACGAGACATGGGAGGTTAGATCACCGTTGAGAGTGACGCCGTTCGAGCCAGCAGTCCATTTTTTAGCACAGTCGATGGTCTCTGTTCTTCCACCAGCGTCGAAGACAATGAGGAAATCAGCAGTACCGGAAAAGGTTGTGTATGAGGAGAGATCAGCAGTCAAAGTACAGGTGACGGTAGTCTCAAGGGATCTTCCACCCGCATTGTCAACTTCACAAGAGGCAATGACTTTATCATCACTGGTGATATCAAAGTAAGTACGCAAAACACCGTTGTTCAGAATTCTCACTTGATAGACATATGGCATGGTCAAACTGAAGGTATCACCAGTGTCGATTTTGCTTGTGTCGATGGTCCATCCCACTTCGACGTCATACCAGTCAAAAGGAATCTGTGTCGATGATTGGTATTGCCTGGACTTGGCGATCCGGTTCACTGAGGTGAAAACACCATCAACCTCTTTTGCACACACACATGATGCTGCCAAAAGAAAGGTGGAAAGCACACTTGTGAGAAACTTCATACTCCCTTAACCAGTGACTCTGTGAAGAAACAGAAAGGAGTCCTCTCTGAAACATGAGGAAACTGAGAAAGATATTGGAAACTTATATACTATTTTGGGAGTTTCTGGAATAAGAAACGTTCCAATGAAATATAGAATGTAGCTAGCAGTTATGCATACGAGATGCCCAATAAGGACCCAAAATCACGATGCACATTCTAGAGCCCTACATCTCCAACTTACAGCATGGAACCCTAGATATGAGAAACACGGGCTGTCAGATCTGACACTCGACGACCGGAATGTGCATAGAAGCAGGCGCATCTTCTCCCTTCCCATGTATGGTGGGCAAATGTAACGAGAAGATTTCTTGTGAATGTACATAGAGGCGTGTATTATACGCAATTTCTGCATACCCGAAAAACATGAATGAAGGCCAATGTATGGGATACGTTCTTTGTTTGCCTTTTATTGTAACAAATAAGGCATGCTCGGTCCGTATTATATGGATTTACACTAGGCACTGATGTTCTGGAGGACTATGAAAGTAAAGCAATTACCACATACCACGCTTGTGAGGCTGTTTGGAGAAGGTATTTGATTTTTCACACGGGGAATCATACGATGCCACAATGCTTATCAGCCTATAGCTTCATTGATGCCTTTACCCTCTCTGGACATTGTTTCTTTAGCTCCTTGTGCTTTAGACCCTCTATTTCTATAGTACTATAACCTATAAATGGGGCACACCAAACGCGTGAGAAATTCGAGGCTGTGTGATCTGACAAGCAAATCTAGGAGGTCAAGCTCAGCTTTCAATTGGCTCAATACCCACAGACTATTTGCGCCCGTAAAATTCCCGCAAGTACTTCACCGTTGTATCAGCAATGCAAGATTAACAACTTGCCATGTCTATCACCAGTTTTGGAACCCGTGTAAACTTTGCGCATCATATTGTAGGCGAGAGCATGTGAGGTTCAGTACAAGCTAGTGCGCTTATTAAGAAATAGAAAAGACGAAGAATGTGTGATCTACGGAGCTAGTTTAGGTGGTTTGACTATTGAATCTCTCTCTCTATGGGCACAACCAAGGGAGAATAGAAATCGTTCGTTAAAAGGTTTGCCGACGATCGATCCGAGGTTCCTCATCCGATCAAAAAACGGCACTGAAAAGAATTTTGCATTATGCAGAAGATGCCATAAGTGAGACAAAGACGTACATCGCCAAACATATGTAGTATTTCCCAAAAAAATGGTGCAGGAAAGGTTCTATTCCAAAAAGGGAATTACAATTCTATTGAGCTGTACATCACACACGGCTTCTTTTCATATAAGGATTGTATTATGCTATGTCCTGTTAACTCTGTAAGCTTTATGAAGTACAAGATAGCCGGGAAGCGCATTCTGAAAGAATATGTTTCTTGTTTATTCTAGTACAAGATAGCCGAGAAGCGCATTCTGAAAGAATATGTTTCATGTTTATTCTAGCACAAGTAATGCGTCACACTGTGTAAGTGGAACTAAGTGGTTGGTTACCTGTTAAGTGTATTAGATGTCCAATAGGCTGGCAATAGACGTGTATTAAATGAACCAACAACAAATGGAAAGGCTGGGGACAGCTCCCACTACTCGCTGATCGACGTTGGCCCCTTTTGAGTATGAAGTACTGAAACCTTGAACACATTCTCTTCTCTCAAGTATCCTGCTTTTCAATTGAAGGTTTCCATGTTGAACTTTCCACACTGTCGCTGTAACTGAGCGTCTCTTTGGGGTTATTTAGAGAAACAGAAAGATGTGTATTAGTATTTGAATTGTGATCTTTGCAGCAAGTTCGTTGGCGATACATTTTGTTGTAGTTTTTGCATTGTGATTTTGGTTTATTATGGCTTGCCTAACAAATGCAACTGTTGGGCTCCAACACAAACGAACAATACGGTATTACCCTAAACTTACAAACGTAAGCACGCCTTGTATGCGAAGTCACAGTCTACGATGGATATCTGTGGAATGTGATATCTGCACATTATATGTGAGGCTTTACACTTCACAATGTTATGCTCGCGGAAAATGTCCCACAAGACGCCTTAGCAAATTTGTAGTCATCACCAACCTTCCAGCACTTTCACTACTACGCAACTTAAGGCCTACGCGCTCAGTATCATAGTTCATAGGAGTCTCGACTGAACAATTATTGTCGAGTTTTGATCATTAATGGAAATTTTCGAAGTAGATGGCTCTTAGTACAATTGTTGGGTTATTTTTGAAACTATCTGAGAAGCTTTGCGACTAGAAGTGGTTGTCAGGAAAGCCAACTACTATGTGCTTGGTATCACACGTCTTTAATTTCCATACTCTAGCGTTTAGCTCACATCGCTCGATAATATATGGAAACCGTGGTTTTTGTCGATCAGTAAATGCAGAAACATTCAGTTGATGTTTGAGGATTTTCCTGGATTCTCGTTGTACCCTGAATGTTCCAGCTTTCGACAATCGGTGGTATTGACATGCCCAACACTAAGTGAAAGTGGTGACTATAGGCCAGAATGAGCAATAGTGCAAAAGAGGGCAAGTGTTTCGATCATCCAGTTGTTCTGATGACGATACTTCGTACAATGTACGTATGTATTGCAGTTCCTATTCTACTTTTGTCTAACCTCAATCACACAGACTGCTAGAAACAACGCCCAAATGGAACTCTAGAAAAACGGCACATTTAACTTCATGTATGTATCATCCGATGGTGGAGCTCAGCACGGAATCAAGCCCTTAAAGCGTTTTACTAAGATGCTCTGTGGTTATCTCACAGCGAGAATATGAGGCAGACGTGTGAAGATCTTCAGCACGCATAAGATTAGGCAAGTGCGGCAAAGTTCAAAGTTATGCCTGTTTGGCGATCTGAGCCTGAAACCCAAATGTATCTGCAACAACGCATAGTGATACATTCTCCCTCCTTTATGTTGACGTTTCAAGCCAGCTACAAAAAGCATCCCTCAATGAACATCAACATTTACTAGACATTGTATGTTGAAACGCGCTTCTGGAGGTATGTAGTACTGAAAAAGAACTGTCATTGGAAGATTATTCTTTTACTTACATTGAAATCTGAACTTCTTGTTTATCTTTTTGTTGAACTTAATACGGTTTAATCCCCAACCTCGTATAGCTCTTAAAAATCCTTAACCCTAAAGGCTTGCAGCGTAACTAAAAGGTCGGGCACAGCTCAATTGGACTTTGACAACTACTTTCTAATCTGAGGATTGATAAGAGAGGATAATCTCTAGATTAACAAACCAATGCTGTTTCAGGAAGCACGATATTGCAGCCTACAATAACCAAGGCTTCCCTCAAACCCTGCCTTAAATTGTGTATCAAATTCGCAGGAAGTATTTGAGAACTACAGCTGCTTAATACAAGACACCAAAGCGAGCATTTTGCACAACTATGGCCGTAATCTGGTAGGCACTGCGTAACGGTCGCTGGGTGGCTATTGGGTACAATGGACTCATTCATAAGGCTTCATTGAAGGGGTGGATACCTACGGCTAAATCATGGTGCAGGACGGCGTATTAACAACAAAATAAACGCGTTTGTTGATCGTAGCAGAATTTCTTCACGCGAATGGCTTGCCTGGTACTTGCTGCCTTATGCAATAATATGCGGTATGTTTAGTAGTAGTGAGCAGGAATGAGGCAGTAGCAGTTTGTTTCTATGGATACAGGAGGGAAACAGCCGGGCTCTTCTGGTAAAATATGGTTGGATAATACAACTGAAGAACTATCAAAAGCACATTGATCATTATAGTGTTCTGTGATGAGTCTGTACGAAAGTTATCTTATGTTGGATGCAGGTTCATTTTACCTGCCTCAGCTTCTTTCATAAGCTTTTTAGTCTTGTGATTGCTCTTCTGTTCTGACTTCCTCGGCCGTCCTCGTCCTCTCTTCTTCTCAGCTGCGGAAGGAATTCTATTGGAAGCTTGTACGTTTCCCTGGTTGTTCTTGTGTTCTCTTTGAGGTGCTACAAAGTGTCGTGATGATCTTTTAACACTTGCACTGTCTTCAGTAGAACCTCTTTGTTGAATTTCTTCACCGCTGGCCTGGAAGTTTGAGACGCCGTCTTCCGTATGATACATCTATTGGCCTTTAAAAAACAGCTCTGGTATCTGAATCCTGATGGGCAGTGACTGGAGTTCTTCTTTCTACTATCTTCATAGAGCACCTCTTTGGCAAGTCAGGGCATTGATGGGATAAGGGGGCGTGGCCGTTGAGGGCCTTCTCATCTTCACACGAGTAATATGAGGACATTCGAAGAATGTATACGCTTGATTATGACAATGGGAACAGCTGTACGTAGACTTTTACTTCCATTTTCACCTCTTTTGATATAGTGCAACGTTTTTCAGTAACAACGGCTCTTCAGAGTTGTAATTGATGATAAACATAAGCACGAACGTTGACAAACGAATCACGTCTTCTCATCTTCTTCTTCGCATAATTTACAACACTTTTGAAAGCTCCTGAAGAACCAAATCACAGTCCCACGATACACTATGCTTGTGAGTCGTCATTTGTGTTCCAGGTAGGCTCCTATTAACAATTACACTAGTCTCTTTGCTATTTAAACAAGAAGAAGTGATGAAATTTGTTGAATACAACAAAGAGCCATAGTTTTGAGTATCTCGATATCTTCCGGTTCTTCCATCATCATCAGGGTCGCTCGTGTCATTCATTTCATCTTCATCTCCAATCTGTCTCATTTTATTCCAATCAAATGTCACAGACTCTGTGATTTTCACCTTCTCACACTGCATCAACAGCACTTCGATTATGAGATTGGTTGGGTTCAATCGTCTAAATGCGTCCATCCCTGCATTCAAAATCTCACAATGGTTGGATGTCACGATATCAAGCATTGGAGTCACCGAATTGTAAAGTTGAAGACCTCTAGCACAGTCTTGCGTGTTGGAGATGAGATTATAAGTACTGTTGACTTTGTCCGTCTTATGCCTCTCAAAGAAAGGCCCCTTCATTCTTTCTTGGATTGGTGGGACCTTTTCTGGATCAGATTCAAATATCAACCAGAAAACTCTATGTTGCATAACCCTTCTAAGCTTTACGATTGTGTAAAGGAAGAGATTTGTCTTGACATGTTTGGAGCATGCGAAGCTCTCAATCAGAACATCATACTGGGCTTCCAACACATCTAAGGCCTTCTTGATACCGTTATCCTGATCTGATATAATCTGTAATGGGGGGAATTCTCACGTCACTGGTACTATCATCGTGTAATTGCAGAGATTCTCGTAATTTCTTCCAATGTGATCCACCATTCTTCTTGGAAAATGTGTACAGGAAGGTGAACCATTCTAATACACACTCTACGTTCTTTAAAAACATCATACTCAGAGGAACAAGTCTCTTGGAGCCAGGCTGGCAAACAATAGTGTATAATGTAAGAAAATCCTCTTTGTATCCCTGACTGTTTTATAAAGGCAAATGGCAAGCATCTAATGAGAGTGTTAGTACCAAACTTTCATAGAGTTTGTCATCAATTGAGTTGGAGAAGTAGCCGCACTTGATTTCATCCTGTGAATGGGATATTAAATGGAGTGCTGAAGTCAGCTCTGAGGACTTTACAGTAGCTTTCAACCACTTTGTTGATTTGTCAGCGCTGAACTTTAGCTTCCTGTCACCCACCTGTACAGTCCTCTTCTTATTAGAGAGAACTGTCAGATTCTTCAGCACCAACTTTTTACCCTGAGAGTCTGCTGCAGGACTATCCTCAGATTGATCACTTATGGCATCTTCCAATTGTTGTAAAATGTTGAATTCGACAAAGAGTCTTCTCAAATCACTTAATAGATTCCACATATTGAAAGAAAGGCTGTTTTCAAGATCGTTTAACAGCTCAATTCATGCTTGAAATGATGGTTTTATTCGTTTAGATGTTCCTTTAGGATCCTTTGCTCTGTCATTGGTGAAGCTGGTATTTTCTTCTTCACACAAGCGAGCATATTAATCATCCAAGGATATTGCTGAACAAAAAGGCTCTGGTCTGGTAGAGACATTATGGTTGAAGATGAATTACGTTAGCTACGCGTATCTGTTGTTTGGTCCATTGACTCGTTTATTCTCCCTCTTGGAATTTGTTTAGCGTCGGCGTTATTGTTTTGACCACGAGGTTTAGGTGTGGTGTGTAGATGAAAAGATTTGGGACCACAGATGCCAATGGTAATTCACCTAATTGCACTAAATTAGTAGGGTAAAAAGTTCAAAGGATCCATAATATTTCAAGTTTCCAATAGCATTATCAGAGATTTTTAATGGAAAAATGGGAATCTTATATATATTCCTTTTTTTTACTTATACATGTTCCAGTTTATATTTTAGTTCAAATTATTCCTTTTCATTTTCTTGCATTATTCTTGCATTTTCTTGTTAATTCAAGAAAAAATTGTTTCTTATTATCCAAAATTTAACAAGGACTTCAGGTATATACCGTAAAAACTACATACTAACAAAATCAAACCTTTCTACCTCTCCAATCATTCTATTTTAGCTAGTTTTGCGAATGCTTTTGCCTAGTAATTTTGTACTACATTTTATGCTGTTTTTCGGACACCTAAAGCGCGATGGTCACGTTTGAAATGGCTCAACCTTTTGCCTCGACAGTGGAAAAGAGATATTTAATGCCCTTTACAAGTTGATCTGTAGTGCTTCGGTATGATGAACACGACTTGGACCTTCGCTAACGTTCCGGTAAACCTCAAACTAGCGCTTCCTTCGCAATCAACTTGTGCTGTGTGGTCTGCTTGGTCCCTCAGCTTAATTAGGATGATGATTTTTTGAAACTCACGAAATCAACGCCTAAAGAGTCTTCGAAAACTGTAGTGTAAGATTTCGTATATGTCGTTACAAGCCTGTGTATGGCGTGGATAGCTAGAATGGTACTAATCTATGTCCTGTTAGTATGGAAAAGAATTGTCTCGTCCTTTATTTATTAAAAGAGGACATCTCAAAGATCGAAAAACACTCTTGTACATAGTATTGATAAAAGTGAAGCCACCTGTAGATCTGTCTTTTATACGTACTGAAATCGAAGTATGTTCTGTTGTTTTTGCTTCTGCCCACCAAGGCAAACTCTTTAACCTCTGGTAATGAAGAAGTACTATGTGCTGGATTTGTTGGTGCTGTCGGTTCAATATTGATAGACTCAACAATAGTTTCTTCCCTGGTTAATCCCATCTCTGTTGTTTCTTGTTGAACAATTTCTCTAGCGATATATAACAGATGTGAATAACGATTGTGTTGAGAGAGACAATCACCAATCTTGCTAATGTAGTCATCAAGTTTATTAAATTCTTCATCGTTTTGAAGAACACCTCTAAGAAATTCAAAATGACGATTTGTAGCTAATCCTGGATCTAGTGTATAAGTTTCTGCAAACTTCTCTTGACCATTTTCTTGAGCTATCATGCCACCAAATTTATGGGAAAGCTTATCCAAGCAATTCAAGAGTCGGTATATAAGATGATAGAGATTAGTTCTAGTGTATGTTAGTCTTAGGGTTTCTTAATTTTGTTTCCTTGTTAAGATATAAGCAAATTAGTTCATTTTTCTGAATTACACAATACAAACTATGAATGGTTACTTCTCAAGCTGTATTGAAGATGACATTCCCATACTTTGCAGCTCTCTTAGTTGGAGTGTTGGCTAAAGTTTGATATAATTTGGGGAAATATGAAGGATGGCGTGCTATTTTTATTAGTATCATTCTATCAGTCTCATTTTAAATAGTAGATGCTCATTCATTCTTTATTGAGGAAGCTTTTATCTGCAAATGATTGATGGAATAGCACCAGCTATTGCTTATTAGTGAGTAAATGTATCTTAGAAAATGTTCTAATCCGAACACTTAATTTTGGGCCATGTTGGTGTATGGACAAAAAGGGCCCTACCAAGAGAACTCACGAGGATGAGAGCCTCCTAAGGCTGGAAGACTATCTTAATATATCTCTCTGTTGTAATTATGACATCAGTTCCGGTGACGGAATGTTCATCTATGCGTTATTCGTAGTACAAAGATGTGTATTAGTTACAAAAGCACTTTTGTGTGATATGTTTGGTATTTATCTCAATTCCTCTCTTTCAATCCTTCTCTCTTTCTACCATTCAGTCCTTCACTCAAGTGATGTATCCATGACTTCGATGGTTGATGGGGGTTTCGCTCTGAACGATGAGTTTCCAGTTAGAAACATGGACATCTGACTGGTGGGACAGGCTCCAGAGTTCTTAGTGAGACCCTGTTGCAGAATGATCACACGGTGAAAGTCTGGACAGCTTTAGCCTGGTGTGGTTGCTCTCAAGCATGGATGAGGATACTGGGATGGTCACAGTGAAGGTGTGGATGGTTCTATAACTGAGTACTGCTACGATGTTGAAGATAGCATGCGAGTGCTGTTATATTCTGGTCAAATTGACAGCACTGCTGCTACATTATCGTCAAGGAGGTACTATTAGCACAGAAGCAGTTGTTGAAGATTGTTGGTTTATCAGGTGCTGTTTCCAGAAGTCAGAACGCTGAATGGATGTGTGGGTACTGTTGATTGGAAAGGTGAGCCCCATATGATGCTGTGCTCTGGTCAAGCCAGCACCATATCGGCAGGCTTCGCTGACTTCCACAATGACTTGCCTATGTTTCAACTGGCGTCGATACAGGACTGAACACCTGTCACTTCTTAGTCTGGTGCTGTTGACAGAGTCAGTTTTATATAGCGAGGGCCACCTGGAGGGATTACGTACAGATGCAGTTGTACGGTATCCACCATGGTTTGGGCCATTGTAGTGTTTCGGTACCTTTCCACCCACCCAGTTGGTAACCAATGCTACCATGCTCCTCGTAGATCTCATAGGACCCTTCAGCGGGCTCT